ATTGTGGGAGGGGCAGAGACACAAACTACTGGGGGGAGGGATCTCACCATTGTGGGAGGGGCAGAGACACAAACTACTGGGGGGAGGGATCTCACCATTGTGGGAGGGGCAGAGACACAAACTACTGGGGGGAAATCTCACCATTGTGGGAGGGGCAGAGACACAAACTACTGGGGGGAGGGATCTCACCATTGTGGGAGGGGCAGAGACACAATTCAGCTCACGTTCCACTTTTTGTGTCCTAGATTGTTCCTGTCTGTGAATGACCCTGAAATATCAACAAAGTGCTGTGAGAGAAAAGCATTGAGCAGGGTAGAAGTCATGGTAGGCAGGGGCTGCTATGGTAGTGCAATACCCCGGGGGCAATACTAGGGGTCATTCAGTGTAATCGGGAGATACCTGGTAGAAAATAGAAGGAAGTCCCGTCGCTGTGGGAGAAGCCACGTTGTATACTGAAGGTCACATGGATGGAGGGGGGCACAGCTATAAAACACGGCAGACATGTATGTGAGCGCACACGCGTGGAAGGCAGTATTGATGCTGCAGCTGGAGGGGATGATGGGCAGAATATATTTCCTCGACTCGTAACTCCGTGTACTGAGCGCAAACAGCAACAGATGTGTAATAGATCGGCGGGGGGCTTCCCTTCCCCAGTGACATCCATGGACCCCGCAGAGTCGCCTTCCCCGTCATATACTACCCCTCTAATACCCCCAGTATGGAGTACCCCTCTAATACCCCCAGTATGGAGTACCCCTCTAATACCCCCAGTATGGAGTACTCTTCTAATACCCCCAGTATGGAGTACTCTTCTATTATAATTACCCCCAGTATAGGGTAGGGGTAGTATATATGGGGGGTACACACAGGCTGGCAGGGTCTGATATGCCCTTTGGATTTGTATCCAAAGGACAAACTGCCCCCCAACCCACATTCCTGAGGCCCCTCCTCTCCATGGGGGTGACACCCCATTGCCTGTCATACGTCCTGTGAATGATACGTTGTCACCTCACCTGATGCCGGGTGGTGTTGTGCTTCTCCACGCACTCTCCATTCAGGCAGAACCTTCCCTCACCACAGCTGGTACCGTCAGCCCAGGGAAAGTGGCGGGTCTGGCACACCAGCTGCCCCCGGGCTCGGCCCGTACACCACAGCTTTGTACAGTACTGCATATAGGGGCAAGGCTTGGAGCCCAGGCCGAATGCCAGCTCGCACTGCCGGCCCAGACTGTAACGTCCTCCGGCCAGCTCGTCAGGGAGTGTGATCGGCTTCGCCGGCTCGTCCAGGAGACATTCACCTAAAGACAGAGCAGACCATTAGAAAGAGTCCCGTCTCTGACCGTCTCCATCCGTCATCCATCCATCCATCATCCATCCATCATCCATCCATCATCCATCCATCCATCATCCATCCATCATCCATCCATCATCCATCCATCATCCATCCATTCTCCATCCATCCATCCATCATCCATCCATCCATCATCCATCATCCATCAATCATCCATCCGTCATCCATCCATCATCCATCCATCCATCATCCATCCATCATCCATCCGTCATCCATCCATCATCCCTCCCCCATCATTGTACAGGGGCCGGTGTCCCCCTAACCCATCATTGTACAGGTGCCGGTGCCCCCCCCCCCCATCATTGTACAGGGGCCGGTGTCCCCCTAACCCATCATTGTACAGGTGCCGGTGCCCCCCCCCCCCATCATTGTACAGGGGCCGGTGTCCCCCTAACCCATCATTGTACAGGTGCCGGTGCCCCCCCCCCCCATCATTGTACAGGGGCCGGTGTCCCCCTAACCCATCATTGTACAGGTGCCGGTGCCCCCCCCCCCCATCATTGTACAGGGGCCGGTGTCCCCCTAACCCATCATTGTACAGGTGCCGGTGCCCCCCCCCCCCATCATTGTACAGGGGCCGGTGTCCCCCTAACCCATCATTGTACAGGTGCCGGTGCCCCCCCCCCCCATCATTGTACAGGGGCCGGTGTCCCCCTAACCCATCATTGTACAGGTGCCGGTGCCCCCCCCCCCCATCATTGTACAGGGGCCGGTGTCCCCCTAACCCATCATTGTACAGGTGCCGGTGCCCCCCCCCCCCATCATTGTACAGGGGCCGGTGTCCCCCTAACCCATCATTGTACAGGTGCCGGTGCCCCCCCCCCCCATCATTGTACAGGGGCCGGTGTCCCCCTAACCCATCATTGTACAGGTGCCGGTGCCCCCCCCCCCCATCATTGTACAGGGGCCGGTGTCCCCCTAACCCATCATTGTACAGGTGCCGGTGCCCCCCCCCCCCATCATTGTACAGGGGCCGGTGTCCCCCTAACCCATCATTGTACAGGTGCCGGTGCCCCCCCCCCCCATCATTGTACAGGGGCCGGTGTCCCCCTAACCCATCATTGTACAGGTGCCGGTGCCCCCCCCCCCCATCATTGTACAGGGGCCGGTGTCCCCCTAACCCATCATTGTACAGGTGCCGGTGCCCCCCCCCCCCATCATTGTACAGGGGCCGGTGTCCCCCTAACCCATCATTGTACAGGTGCCGGTGCCCCCCCCCCCCATCATTGTACAGGGGCCGGTGTCCCCCTAACCCATCATTGTACAGGTGCCGGTGCCCCCCCCCCCCATCATTGTACAGGGGCCGGTGTCCCCCTAACCCATCATTGTACAGGTGCCGGTGCCCCCCCCCCCCATCATTGTACAGGGGCCGGTGTCCCCCTAACCCATCATTGTACAGGTGCCGGTGCCCCCCCCCCCCATCATTGTACAGGGGCCGGTGTCCCCCTAACCCATCATTGTACAGGTGCCGGTGCCCCCCCCCCCCATCATTGTACAGGGGCCGGTGTCCCCCTAACCCATCATTGTACAGGTGCCGGTGCCCCCCCCCCCCATCATTGTACAGGGGCCGGTGTCCCCCTAACCCATCATTGTACAGGTGCCGGTGCCCCCCCCCCCCATCATTGTACAGGGGCCGGTGTCCCCCTAACCCATCATTGTACAGGTGCCGGTGCCCCCCCCCCCCATCATTGTACAGGGGCCGGTGTCCCCCTAACCCATCATTGTACAGGTGCCGGTGTCCCCCTAACACATCATTGTACAGGTGCCAGCGTCCCCCTAACCCATCATTGTACAGGTGCCGGTGTCCCCCTCCCCCATCATTGTACAGGGGCCGGTGTCCCCCTAACACATCATTGTACAGGTGCCAGCGTCCCCCTAACCCATCATTGTACAGGTGCCGGTGTCCCCCTCCCCCATCATTGTACAGGTGCCGGTGTCCCCCTCCCCCATCATTGTACAGGTGCCGGTGTCCCCCTCCCCCATCATTGTACAGGTGCCGGTGTCCCCCTCCCCCATCATTGTACAGGTGCCGGTGTCCCCCTCCCCCATCATTGTACAGGTGCCGGTGTCCCCCTCCCCCATCATTGTACAGGTGCCGGTGTCCCCCTCCCCCATCATTGTACAGGTGCCGGTGTCCCCCTCCCCCATCATTGTACAGGTGCCGGTGTCCCCCTCCCCCATCATTGTACAGGTGCCGGTGTCCCCCTCCCCCATCATTGTACAGGTGCCGGTGTCCCCCTCCCCCATCATTGTACAGGTGCCGGTGTCCCCCTCCCCCATCATTGTACAGGTGCCGGTGTCCCCCTAACCCATCATTGTACAGGTGCCGGTGTCCCCCTCCCCCATCATTGTACAGGTGCCGGTGTCCCCCTAACCCATCATTGTACAGGTGCCGGTGTCCCCCTCCCCCATCATTGTACAGGTGCCGGTGTCCCCCTAACACATCATTGTACAGGTGCCGGTGTCCCCCTCCCCCATCATTGTACAGGTGCCGGTGTCCCCCTACCACATCATTGTACAGGTGCCGGTGTCCCCCTCCCCCATCATTGTACAGGTGCCGGTGTCCCCCTCCCCCATCATTGTACAGGTGCCGGTGTCCCCCTCCCCCATCATTGTACAGGTGCCGGTGTCCCCCTCCCCCATCATTGTACAGGTGCCGGTGTCCCCCTCCCCCATCATTGTACAGGTGCCGGTGTCCCCCTCCCCCATCATTGTACAGGTGCCGGTGTCCCCCTCCCCCATCATTGTACAGGTGCCGGTGTCCCCCTCCCCTATCATTGTACAGGTGCCGGTGTCCCCCTAACACATCATTGTACAGGTGCCGGTGTCCATCTCCCCCATCATTGTACAGGTGCCGGTGTCCCCCTCCTCCATCATTGTACAGGTGCCGGTGTCCCCCTCCCCCATCATTGTACAGGTGCCGGTGTCCCCCTCCTCCATCATTGTACAGGTGCCGGTGTCCCCCTCCCCCATCATTGTACAGGTGCCGGTGTCCCCCCCCCCATCATTGTACAGGTGCCGGTGCCCCCCCCCCATCATTGTACAGGTGCCGGTGTGAACTGTTGGTAGTAGAGCTCACCGTGCCCGCTGTCTAAGAAGTCGGTGATGATGGCGGCACTGCACCCGGACCAGGGATTGGCTCGGTCGATCTGGATCAATGTGGGTGACATCATGTGATTCTCTTTGAGTTTTCCAAACACCTCCTCGCAGGCTTTGACGTTGTCGTGTGGCATGTTGAAGACGTGACCTGCGGGAGGGAAAGGGTTAAGGGGGCGAGGCCGATGAGTCGCCGAATTATCCCCAAAATGTAACATTGAGCAATTGTGATTTAGTGCCGGCGTCCCGAAACCGTACAGACATGTGGAAGCCATTCTGCCAGGAGGGGGAGGGGAGAACATACATAACACGCCTGTATACAGATCCCACTACACGGAACATAGAAGAGGACCTGTCTAACGGCACACATTACTTGCGGGCCAAGCTGGCCAGTGACAGTTCCGAGGCTTGGGCCAATCCATAGAAAGGTTCCTGTTGTTGTTTTCCTGCAAATGTCGGGTTCCAGGTTTAGTAACATAAACATGGCTGCTCAGAGTCTGCGAGTGACCCCCCCCCCCCCCCCCTCCTGGCACCCACAC